CGTAACTACCACTACTTTACCTTACTATATATATATATATATATATATATAGGGTCCATAGAGAATAATGTGGCTGGACAACTATATGTATAGATATAGCTAGGGTCCACAAAGGCCAGTGTTGCTGGACAACCTTCTTCATCCAATCACTCATTCTCTTTCCTCTTCTTCTTCATAGTGTAACATTTGCACAAGTAAAAGTTTGAAAAGCACTAAAAATTACAATTTATTGAGAAATATACTATTTTTTTCACAATATGGCGATCTCGTTTCGACCATGAAATACCGTCTACTTTCACCATAATATAGCTTGTTTGGCAGGCTTCTGCAGTACCTCTCAGTTATCAATGTCATCTATGCCCAGCCAAATGGACACTGAGCAATCTTATCACAATGAAAGTTCTACAGAAACCCAGAATGCAAGAATTCTAGATTGTGGCTATCCTGATCGTGCATGCAAGCAGACCCTAAACTAATTCGCGTCAATAGTTACACATACCATGTAGTACCTTCAGAACTTCAATAGCTTCGGCAGCAGTGTATCCTTCATTTGCATCTAATATAAATGAACATTTTGGATGAGCAGCCTTAATGGCTCCAAGAACTTCTATATCGGCATTCAAATTTTTCCCTACTTTAAGTTTTAGAGTCTTGAAACCTTGATGGAAATACTTTTCTGCAAGCTTTGCAGCTTCTAGTGGCGGTAAAATTGGAATCTGCACATATGAGGTAGTCGTCAGAATCCCAAAATGAAACGGAAAAAACTAACTGACTGAAACACCAATGGAGTTTTAAAGATAGATACCGAACTGTAATGTCAGTAGTTATGGATTTAGACACCCCACCAAACAACCTCCAGAGAGGTACGCGAATGCTGTTGGCAACTGCATCGATCAAAGCCATCTCCACTCCAGCCCTCACCTTAGAAAACAAGTATTTTGATCCCAGTATAAGTTTTAAAGTCAAAATGCTACAAAGACAAGCACGTCTCGCATGCCCTATTCCTTCATATAAGTATGACATGCAATTTATCTTTTTAGTTGTGACAAATGCAATTGGGAACTACAGAAAATGGTAAGAAAGATGGCAGGCATCACTATGCAAACATATATAGAGAATAGCAGTGATTTGGATTTCCCATGTCTAGATACAGCGAAGAAAATAAGTTTGACACTTTCTTTTCAAATCTCAAAAGAAGAATAAATTTTTCCCATAACATTAGGCATATTGAATTTGTTTGTACATAACACCAGTAAGGTGTTAAGTTCTTATACTACTTTTGGTAATCAATGCGAAATTTTGATTTTTAAGTTCTCCTTTCATGGAGTCTAGTCCCCAATATCACTATAGTCTTCGACAGATCTAGAAGACTGGGAGCATTCACGCTAATTCCCATCTTGTAATATCTAAGTTGTGAATTAAGGCAAGATATTGTAGATTAGCAACCTCCTTTACAATCAAATCTCAAAGTGTTTCACATACAAACTTAGTTTTCTCATGCTTCTCTAGGACATGCTACTGTCAGCCCCAAGTCCCCAACCATGCTTCCTTATTCCCCTACTCATTTATATATTTGTAGTTCAGTATATATTTATAGTCTGTAATCTGATTTTTTTGTAAATATATCATGGTGTTAAACAATCCTAAAGTAGGGTTAGTGAAATCAAAGATTCTCTAGCAATCTTATTGATCTCATCTCTAGGACTATCTTAAGAAAAATCACATAGGCACTGGGTGAAATTTTCATTTTGATCTCAGTATCAAGATCAATCATTACTAGAAACAGTAAGAAATTTTAGATATTTTGATTTTGCTTAAGCACAAGCTTCGCAAACAGCAAGGATATGCTATAAAGCCTTTATCCATTAGATAAATAACATATATTGACCAAGAATTATAACATAAAGCACATTGCATGGTTAGAGTGACTGTCGAATTAGATTACTCAACGTCATATTCATGATTTTGATTTTGACGGAAAATATAAAGAAATTAAACATACCTTGGTTAAACCACTAGCCACTTCATGTCTTTTCACTAATGGTTGATAACATACTAATAAGAAAAAAATAGAAGCAAATATTTTCCTAATGAAGTTAAGGCACTCTTACAAAAGCAAAGATTTCTCACAAGCAACAAATGCCAGATGTGTCTGATCTTTGAATCCTAAGTAAGGTCCCCAACTCCATTTATATTTTTTTGATCCAGGCCCCCGTACATCTTTTAGCTACCAAAGTCACAATGCAGCACTCATAACTCCCCTAAGGGTGGCCAAATATACTTATGAAAACATTCTGCTACATTCTTATTTTTGTTAATTGCTACTATTTTCTTAACCACGGCAGAGAGGGAAGATAATATCTTATGTATGGATCCAATCTAATCCTCCAAACAAGCTACATCCGCATCCAAACCAACCTATAAGAAACACAACAGCATCAGATCTCCAGTGAAATGGACAATTCTCCTAAATACATATGCTAGCCACTGAACCTTCTCTCTTGCCCCTCAAATAACATTCGATGAAGCCCTTTCCATTATTGGAGGTGTAAGAAATCATAAACATCTAAGCCCACTGAAGGCCCAATCCTCTGCTGCCATTGAGAAACTTTGAAGAAATGAGAATGAAAAATGCAAAGATTTGTTTATCTTTATCCTTAGCATACGTTATTCCTTTCGGGAGCAACTCACCCATCATATGAGCCCAGGGCAATAACCCTCTGTAGACATCTATGTGAAATACAGAGGCTGCAGATGCATATATAATTATTGGGATCCATCCTACTAAATCTCACGTACGATATATACAAACAATCCATCCTGGATGCCTATTCCCATTTAACCATAGGTTTTTATTTAGATCATTCCAAGAATTTGGGAGGTTTTCAATAATTTCATGATTTGTTGGTTCCACTTATGGATCCACCGTAACCAGAGAATAGATAAGCTATTACACCCATGTTATCAAGGTACTCAAGCACTGATTAATTCTCTCTCATTTTCTTCATGTTGTATCTCGTATATAACCCACATTGCATCACATAATTCCATCAATTTCTCTTTTTCCTATTGCATTCCTTTAAAACCAAAGCATTTACATAGGGTTCAAATACTTTATGATACCTATCACTCAAGCAATTAAGCAATGCACCTTTACAAGTAAAAAGTATCACTGTTCTACTTTGTGTACTTCTCTCCCTACATGTACAGTTATCATTAGGTTCAGTCGGGGTATCTCCTTGAATCACATAAAGCAATTGCATGGTATGCAACAAGAAAAATAGCTTATTCTTTTAAGAGTAGAAGTTAAACCCATCAAGCTTATAGATTTTAACTAAATCTGCAGGCCCACTCTTTGTCATGTCATATGAACACAGTTAGAAACGCTTGGGCACCAATTGTTGAATATGAGCAAGACAATGGAAGGAGGTGCACACGCAGATTGAGCATAAACCCCAATTTCAAGCATAAAGCAACCAAATAATCATGTACACGAATATTATCAATTACCATACATACTCTACTATGGCCTTTCCCCAAACTACATTTTCAAATAGGCCAGCTCAACTTACACCATTTTTCCCCCCCAAGCCACACAACACAAATAGCATGAAAATAAAAGGGAACGAGTTCACTAAAGAACCACACCAAGCACCCAAAAGGATGCCAAGGTGGCGTGCACAAGCAATGGTTGATGAGCTCGCCGTAAGGGTTTTAGCAGGCTCCTCTTAAACTGTATCAAACACTTGTTCTACACAATAGGCTAGAGAGAGAAAATGACAATAAATCATGTGGCAAAGATGGGTACTTCCGTGCTTGCATCAGGTTGCTCTTGCAACATCTAGGGTACAACCATTGTAGCAAACCACCTCAAAAAATAGTGAGTCAGTTGCTTACTTGAGAGAGAAAAAGAGTGCAGTTAATGATGCGCAAAGTGCATCAAGTGGTATCAAGCAGGCTAGATAGTGCCGGCTTAGAGATCCGATAGTTGCACGAGTTCCTTGAGAACCAAGTTGTGCAATCGATGGTAGGTTTGACTCAAAGGTCAGATCAACTGATGGATCTTGTGATTCATTGAGCTGCAAACCCTGAAGGCATGTTGGTCGAGTATGATCTGAATGAGATTGCACCAACTACCTGACACGTCACGCATATTTTCTAGAAGCTTAAGAGGAGGACCTGTTTGTAGGTGTTCTTCTAGATTGCAAGATTCAAGCACCACTTGTTGACATAATTGGTAAGCCTATATATGATAAAGTCATAGTTACAGGGATCTCCTACTTTGGTGGGCGATCCCTTCTAGGATCTCTATTTTGTTGCTCCCAGAACGAATTTCTCAAGGATCTCAACTCTTCAATTTTAGGATCTCAACCCCCATTATTGGGGATCTCGATTCCTGCTGTTAGGGATCTCGATCCCAACCTTAAAGACCAAGACAATAACCAAACTAATGATTTTCTTCATTTATATCCAGCTAGCAATACAACTATACTTCTAATATAGTTGCATTGCTGCTTGCTATAAATAAGGAGATCCCTACTATAAAGAGTAAATATAATCCTAAATTATCATGTACTTAAGGTTGGTAGCAATATCCCCAAAAAGTGTCAGGGTGCTTGAGGCACACTTTGCATTTCACATGCTCGCATCAAGACAAAGGCGCATGTACCCCATGCATGGGTGCAGGTTTGGGCTCGCGGCTCCTATCATTTTACAAGTCGTGACACTTATCATTCTTTCCAAGTCACATCAGACTGTGTATGTGGCAGCGCAATAATTATTTTTTGTCTGTTGGATGGTGCGCACTGGTTGAGACAGTTTACAGCTATTGGATAAGTAATTTTTTGTTTTTGTTTTTTTTAAACCATTAATTGACAGTCACACTGCCTAGTGATCAGTCACAACTCTGAACTTGAAACGCCACTTTCCTATTCTATAAATAGGGGTCTGATTTCCCCATTTAGGACACAGTTTTTATACCCATATTTCTCTCTCTTACTACTTTCTCTTCCTAGAAATCCAGGTGCTTTATTCTATTGCAATGAATAGACGAGATTACATAGAGACCTTCAATTTTCACATATCCCAAGTTGTGTGATACGACCTTTTGCACACTTATTAAATCATTAGGGGGCAAATATAGTATTGAGACCGCCTCCACATGCCTTAAAATAGGAGGGCCCATCCTTTATTATTTTAGAAGCCTCCACCATCTAATTTTATAGCACCCGTTTCACCCAGAACCTTATTCTCAACAGGTCGGATTGACCCGCCTAGTTAGCTGCCGACCCAACCCTATTGCACCCCTATTTAGCTTTAGTCATTTAAAAAACATATAATCTAATGAATAAAATTTAAAAACAATTCTAAAACCATAGAGAAATCCCTTAAAGCAACACACTCCGACATACCATTCTTTCAAATTTGCCTTTAAGATGTCGTTGTCAACTGCCAATGGGCTAAAACATATAATGAGGGATTTCCTTTGATCAAGGACTAGAAGGGACAAAAGGTTCCATCTTATTAAGAGGGGAAAAATGTGTAAATCGAAAAGAGATGGGGGTCTTGGTATCAGATATCTAAAGGACATGAACAATGCCCCGCTTAGAAAATGGTGGTGCAGATTTGCTGCTCAAGAAGACTCTTTAAAGGATGTTCATTGGTCATAGCTTTCGGGTAGGATCTTCGAGCTGATTTCCAGAAGATGGAACCAATTCAAGATCCTCAAGAGCATGGAAATGTATTTCTTTGGTCCTTCCACTGTTTTGGTTCATATTGCTTTTCAACAAAATTAGGGCATCGAGTCCGCTTTTGGAATGATCGAAGAATTGGAGATAGAGAGAAGGAAACCTTGCTGCCCAACCTCTACTTGTGGCCTCCGATCAAGTTCGCTGCATTTCGCAATCTTACAAAATATTGGAACACTCACTATTAGGGCTCGAAGATTTCGCAGGGACCTGACTAACCAAGCATAGTTCAAAAAGTCGGCCGTCCAGTGGGCCTCACGACCCAAAACTAGGCCTTTGGGAACCAAGGTGGGGCCATGACCCTGGGCGGCCGACTAGTCGCCTAGGGCACCACAAGGGCTGGCACTCAACACCCCATGTCTGGGCACCTGCCCAGAGCCCTTTCGGCAAAGGCTAAAATTGCAAGTGCCAAAAGGTCAAAAAATCCCCCCTTTAAAAGTGGGGAAATAGTATTTCGGGGGCCAGGGCACCACCTGGGCTGGCACTCAACACACAACGATTGGGCGCCCGCTCAGAGCCCTTTTGGCAAAGGTGAAAATTGCCCATGCCAAAAGGGCAAAAAATGTAATTTCCCTTTTAAAACTGGGGAATAGTATTTGGGGGGCATTTTGGAGCCCCCAAAACTTAGAGATTCTATTTGTTCCCTAAAAACTACTTTTTTAGCTCAAAATCGAATTTCTTTTTTTTTTTTGAGAATGTTAACCTAATCGAATTTGAATTTAAAGTCAAAGTTTTCGATTTCGAAAGCATTCAACCTTGAACTTTCTAAAGATTAAAGTGGTTGCAAATGAGAGCTTTTGGCAACTGGAAGTGATCGATTCAAGGCTACTTCCATTGATTTTTGAAAGGTTAGTAGATGTAATTGTTTATATTTTAGGCTTCATATTATGCTTTTTAACATTATCTTGTGTTTAATTTTGAAGTTTGGCCTTACATTGATGAAACTTCATGATTGCTTTTTTTTTTCTTTTAAGGGTTTGCTTTTTTTGTGATTATAAATATTTTAGGCTATGTTTGGCAATGTTTCTAATTTATAATGCAAATTTGAAAATTTATATTATATTTTTGGGTATGTTTGGCTTTGTTTCTAATTTGTAATGCAAATTTAAAAATATTACTCTATATTTGACTGTCTCTAATTTTTAATGCAAAAATGAAAATTTACAGTATATCCCCCCCCCCCTCAAAACCTTTACACAGTGGCCGCCCAAGCTAGCTGCCTCAGCGGTTGGGACCCTTGACCGCATTAGCAGCACCCCCATCTTCTTGAACTTTTTCTTCTTTTTTTTTGAGAATGTTAACCTTGTCTTCTTAAACATTGTGACCAAGAAATTGCTGAACTTGAAGAAGACTTAGTAGCGATCTGAAGCCATAGTTGTTGGGAGCAGGTTCGAGATCAGGATTGGGACGGGGGGATAATGAAAGGCTAGAAGATCCCTATGGTCAGGAGCGTCGCCCATCGAATGCATATGTTAGGGAATTCGATTCCATCCTTTGGGGATTTTGCTCCAACCTTAAAGAGTATATATAGTCCAGGACTATATATACTCTTTAAAGTAGAGATCTATTTATTTATAGCTAGTAAATAATACAACTACAATAAAAGTATATGTGCGTTACTAGCTGGCTATAGATTAAAAAATCATTCAATTTGGTCTTTAAGATGGGGATTGAGATTCCTAACAATGGGATCAAGATCCCCAACAATGGGGATCGAGATCCCAAAATTAAAAAATACAAGATCCCTTTCCTAAAGCTCAAAAGCGAATTACGAAGAGGGATCGCCAAAGGTGGAAACAATTCAAGATCCTCAAGGGCATGGAAATATATTTTTTGGGTCTTACCACTATTTTAGTTCATATTAGCTTTTCAACTAAATCAGGGAATCGAGTCTGCTTTGGTAAGATCAATGGATTGGAGATAGAAAGCAGGAAACGTTGCAGCCCAACATGTATGTTGTGGCCTCGATGAAGAGTGTCGCATTTTGAAATCTAACAAAATATTGGGGTGCGCACTATTTGGGCTCCAAGACTTTACAAGGAGCCAACTGACAAAGAAATAATCAAACTCAAAGAATTACTAGCCATCCTCAACTTCCATTTCATATCTAGACAGGCCGAGATCGTTTTGGTTTTGGAGCTCGTGAAACTTGGCAATTCTTGGTCATCCTTGTATAACCATATCAAACCAAGCTTACCAATCCTTGCCCTAGCCAGCAAAGCGTGGTTCTTCCCAGCACCCCCCCCCCCCTCCAAAAAAAAAAAAAAACACCTATGCTGGCAAATCATCGATAATAGGACCCTAACTTTGGACTTGCTTCAAAGAAAAAGATTTCATCTAGTCAATCAATGAATCGTGTGCAAAAAGCGGGACGAGTCGACTGACCACCTTCTTTTATAGTGCGATTGGGCCTCCTAGTTATGGTGATTCCTTCTGAAGGCTATTTGACATCAAATGGGTCTTCCCCGAGAGCATCAAGCAACTATGCAATCTATACTTCTCAACCTCCTCACAGCCTCAGGTACTCTATAACGGAAAGCTTCAATTGTGGCCTTGAAATGGACCACCAAGACAGAATGAAATAAGTAAATTTTCGAGGGTTGGAAGTCAAAGCTTCAAGTGGTGAAAGAAAGACTCATTGCAATAGTGATTGGGTGGGTACACTTCGAAAGGATTTTAGTTCATTCTCCACCTTGGATTTCTTGCAAAATTGGCTGACATTTTCCAGGCCAACCGCCACAGGAACCCTAGGTCTTGCCACCACAGCCAGGTACAATCAAACTCAACTTTGATGGGTGCTCCTTCGCTAACCCAGGAAGACCTGAGATGGGGGTGCTTTCAGGGACAGTACATCTTCTATCCTGTTATCCTTCTTAGGCCCAGTCGGCAACACTACAGCTACAGTTGTGGAGGCTAGGTCTCTCCTAGAGAGGCTCATGTTGTTTGACTTCTCTTGGGTTTCTCTTTGGAAGTGGGGGGTGATTCTAAGAATGTCATTGATTGAGCTAAAGTGGCTTACCCTTGTCCATGGGCCCTTAACCATGTTTTTGAAGAAATGGCCCTACTGTGTAGGCCATTGCATATTGTTTTTTTGACATACATGGAGAGAGGCAAATGCTTTACCTGACTGCTTGCTAAGGAAGGGGCTGTGCTCCCATGGTCATCTCTCTCCCAGCCATCACTCTAGAAAATGCCTCGACTCAACATCATTCTCAAACCCCTCTCCTCCTGCCCTAGTTTGAATCATAACAATGTAAGCAAGGCCGTCAGCCATTGTGGTAGCGACCACATCTTGTGAGGGGGACGAAAATAATGTTCATTGTTTCTATATTTAACAGTATACTAGTTGAGTTTCCTCAAAGAAAAAGATACCCCTTAATGTCTAACAAAGAAATCCAATAAATTCAATCCTTCATAACAACACAAACCAATCCTCACCCCTCTCACCCACACCACCAGCCCCCTGCCAGCCAAAAAAAAAAACTGCAAAAACACATGTGAGAGGGCATCAGCCACACACAAAATAATTAAATTAAACCAATAACATATAAACATAAATTATAGTGAGTAACAAGATGATCAGCCATCTCCTAATCCACCTTGTCATCAAACAATAATAAGGGAACCAGAACTCCCTGATGTCAAAGATGTTAGACATGAGAATCTTGTAACTACTTAATTACCCAAACATTCAAAAAAAAAAAATTTAACCAATGCACCAATCTAGTTAGACAAACATGAACCACCCGTCTCCACACATCTACCCACGCCATTTCTAGGGATGCTAGCAACAAGGTTCAACAAAACTTTAAAATTGCCTCCTCCCACAAATCCCAGCTACGAATCCCACCTAAAACCAAAATGCTGCACCACTCTACCAACTTCCCTTTCAAACCAATCAACAGCCCAAGCCTACATATCCACCAATATCAAAATATGCCTATCCTGTCAAAACACCCAGAACTATTCCCCAATCCCTCTCTAAACTTAATCCTCCTCTTAATCCTATTTTAAACCCAGCAAATACCTCTGCTTACCAGAAACAAAAACAAAACATTTCCACCAACTCCTGAACCACTCCACCCCCCACCCCCACCCCCTTCCCCTCCCACCCAACCCAAAACAAAGAAAAAACATAAATTTACCCCAAAAATTGTCCTATGAAGAAATTGCTCCTGCAAAGGTCTAGGACGACCTTCCTAGACTTGCTATTCACCATCAGCCCCGGGATTCCAATTCTGCCATATTCCTTCGCTTTGCACACATCCTCCTATGTAAACAGGTGAGTTTAGATCCCTTACCCATTAGTTGGAATCAAGCTTTCATACACCCATTTTATCCTTCATATTACTGAAAAGCATCAAGCACAGTCCGAAAGAAATCCACTCTTCATTCCCTAAATAACATTAGAAAAACCAGGTTGCCATGAAAAACGGCCCAACCCAGAAGCCAAATGGTTGAAATTCAAGCTTTACAAACCAACTTGTTAGAACTAAAGCTTTTATTCACCCATGCTATCTTTTTACATCGCTGAACACAATCAAGCACAAGGATAAAGAAAAGCACTCTTCTTTCCTGATTACCATATGGCAAATAGAAGTTGCTAAAAAAGCCCAAGCCAGGAACTAAATAGTTAGAATTCAAGGTTCCCCATACCCATTCTATCTTTTCACATCTATGAAATAAGCAAGCATAGGTAGAACTTAGACACTACCGCAGCATTGAACTGAGGAAAACATCCCAACCTAGAAGCCAAATGCCCACAAATTCAAACTAATACACAACAGTTCTATATTTCCACATCAGTAAAAACAGTCAAGAAGTGCTATTTACTTACAGAGGCAAAGGCATGACCGGGAACTATCTCCACAATCTCTTCGAGAAGCAATTTAAGTGCCTTGGGTTTGCTCCTCTTTATAAAAGAGCAAACATCCATCGCTTTCTCCAAAGCAGAAGCCTGGTCTTCTGCAGTGACAAACGGAAGAATTGGGGACTCACCCCAACCGACACTTCCATTGCTCAATTCGACACGAATTGCAACGTTCTTGACAACATCAAGCCTCGACGAAGCTATGGTGAAAGGGGCGACGAGTGGAACGTTTAATGGCCTCCCTTCTGCTCGAGAAACATCGACTGTGAAGGTTTCAGTGAGGCTCTGAAACCCAAAGCTCCCGACTGTTGCAGTCATGGAGCCTCTGCAACTGAATTTGAGACATGGTGCTTGGCTAAGAAAGGGCCTTTTGGGCCTCAGTAAAGAGGACCCAGATGACAAAAACGAGGGAGTCGTCAATGGATGGAGAAACCCTACCAGAGACATGACTCCGATTGGTCCTTTAAGTTATCAGTGGAGAGAAAGCGGGCATTTTTTATGGAGAGAGCAAGGTATTCGTGTTTTTGTCTCTTGACATTAAAAAACTCGCCAAGGAGATGGTAGAAGCCCCCAAATCTGAAATGATTGGGGGTTTCCTCCTTTGATTCCTCTCTCCTTCTCTCTCTTTCCATTGTTTTTAAAGAAATACAGCGTAAGCAAGGTGCGATGGCCTGAATTTTGAAAACAATATGAGAGACGTCTCTCTCTGTCTCTAATTTTTAAAAAGAGGTTCCCACTCTCTCTCTCTCTCGAAAACATGGGCTCCTTTGTCAAGGTGGCAACGGGTTGGACTAGCCTTCAGTGGCCCGGCCCTGCCATGGGAATCAATATAAGTGACGTCTCTCCTTCTCTCATTCTTCAAAACGAGTAATGATCAAATGAGACCCTCCGTATCCATGTCTAGGATTTTAAAAAATCACTATTAAATTTATGAAACTTGACTTTTCCACGGATGTATACCAAATTTAATGGTACTCATTTGAAATCCTACATAAAAAGATACGGAAGGGGACTTATCACTCTTCTGAAAAAGAAGTTGCTCTCTCCCTCTTCAATACAGAGGTTCCTCTCTCAAGGGTGACAACGGGTTGGGCTAGCGCTAAGGGTGGCAGTGGACCCGACTTGGGGTCGACAGCTAGACCTGATCTAGGTCTGGTATGGGTTCAAAAATTAGATTTGGCGTGTTGGGTTCGAGTCTAAATCTTGCACTAGAATACTACTTGGGTGTGTGTTTGGATCCATTCTTGTCCGATTAGGTCTAAGTCCCACATTTCTCAATTTATAAAAATATATAAAATAAATTGATATTTTAATTTTTGGGTTGAGTCCAATCAGGTTCAGGTTCAAATGCGGACAATACATTATATTTCAGGTCTGATCCGGGTCAACCTAACCCATTGCCACCCCTAGCTAACCCTTGCCTAGGCTCGGGCTTGTTCAGCCTTGGCTTGTTAGGGCCGGGTCAAAAATAAATTTAAAAAAATAAATAAAAGGTAAGAAAAACCAATACCATTAGGAGGAGGCCACCGGGCTGGTCTGGACCGGGCTCCGCCTTACCCTATTGCCACTCCTAAGTCTCTCAACCTCAAAAAAGAGGTCCTTTCTTTTGTTGCTTGCATTTAGCCTGTTGCAGGGAAGGCCTCTAGGAAGATGGAGCCCCTCTCGTACGGACAAACTTCTTTAGTTCGATGGGGGGTCCTTTTGTACGAACAAGATTGTTTCCTAGGAAAAGTAACATGAAATGGTTCTGCAACTCACCTAAAATATGTTTTATTCGGTGATGCCAACATGGGTTTCACAAAGAATGAAAGCGATCTTTTTATTTGAAAAAATAAAGATAGGTGGTTAGGAACATATTACATATTTATTATTTATAAGGAGGCCATTTATTTTTTATACATAGAAGTCATAATCATTTTCACTCATTAAATATTAAATTGAATACATTAAATATTAAATCGAATAGCTTGGGGTAAGTCATGAAATTCAAGAATTATTTTCTTTGGAAATTTGTGCCTATTCAATGACACTCTTACAACCATCCATGTTGAAATTTAACAAGAATGATTTGTGAACTTTCATGTATAAAAGATATATAGTTTTTTTGTAGACAATCTCCTTATTATATTTGGTTTTTGTTGTCGAGAGGTCTTTTAGGTATCCAATAAAGCAAAAACGAATTTCCGGTAGAAACAATAGTATTTTCTAACTATACATGTGATATAACATCATCTATATAGGTTGTGACAATATTTATATAGAGTATTTTACCACGCAATAAACTATCATCTTCTTATAAAAGTATTTATTCTTTACATCATTGATGTTGAAAAATATCAATACTAGAGAAGTCTTGTATTACAAAATAAGAGTAATGAATGTCCAATTACTGCGACTAAGTCAAGTGAATACTCTATTGGAAAGAAGCTAACAAAACCCATTATATTATATTGTTCCATTTTTTGTTTTTTCTTTTTTCTTTCTTCACTGTGTACTTGAGTATCTTTTATATTGTCGTGGCTACGGTGTCAATTTGGTGCTTCCCTGATGAGTGGGCAAAGCCCTTGATATTATGCTCTCTCTCTCTCTCT